TTGAGAGGTTTTCAGCTCATTGACAAGCCCTTATCCCAGTTTTTCTCACCCTTGGCGACTTGAAGTCCACAGGACTTCAAGTCGCCAAGGTTGAGAAACACTGGTATAAGGGCTTGTCAATGAGCTGAAAACCTCTCAAATACTTTGTAAGTAAATTAATCAACAATCCTTCCTTAAAAACAAGAATATAATAGCACAGGATTCCCAATTTGACACTGAAAAGTTGTTGTCTCTAGATGATAGGAATTGTATTCTAACATAGCTGTAGTAGAAGGCTATAATACTACAGTATATAAGAAAAAAGTCCCACTGGCACTGAATGCACCAGAATTAGTTTCTTTCTTCTCTTGGTTACTTATCTCTGAAAAATAGGGCAAACCAGTGAGCAACGTTCATTTATTTCTGATAAATTGTGGTCCCACTGTGGATGCAAACCCATAATTTCTTCAGCAGCTTCCTTAAAATTTTGATGGTTCTAGTTGGGAGAGAAAGACAAAGCGTTAATATTATAAGAAATCAAAAATAATACCTGTTAAGGCAGAAAATGAAGACAATTCTTACAGTTCCAAAGAAAAATCTAGGGAAATAAGTTACTTTGCCTTTTCATAGGTAAAACAGCTTACAGTTGCGTCTAAATTTGTAAATATATTGTTCAATTTAAAAATTTCTATCCCTCTCTAGTACATGTGTTATCTCTCTGAACAGTTTATACCATTTAAAAACAGTAATAAATTTAAACAGAAAATATTAAATAGAAATAACCTCAAAGATAAAACTAAAAGTATTAACAAAGGCAAATATAGAACGGTAACCATTAGAGAAGAGACAAGAGATTTTCTAAAATTCTTGGCCTATTGGTGAAATACCAGCAAATAATGAGCCAAGGGAGCCTTCCAAACTATAGATTCCAAAAGCTTAATTAAATAATATTTTATCTTGTCTCAGCCCAAAATATCTCAGAAAAGAGCTTTCCCATAAGATCTAGTAGACTAGACAGCAATAAAGGATGGGGTGACACTCCGCCAAGTCATCCTGAATCAAAACCCTTTAAATTTTTAAAAATAATAGCTAACACTCTGAATTGTGCTAAGAAACAAACTATCAACGCAGACCTTGGAGGACTGTTGTTCAGGTAGTCCACAACATATAAACACAATTGAGCCCAACATTTCTATTGCTAACCAAGACAGTTGTTAAGTGAATCACTGCAGTTACTAAGTTAGTAACACAGTTGTTAAGTGAATCTGACTTCTCCATTGACTTTGCTTGTTAGAAGGGAACAAAAGGGGATCACATGACCCTAGAACTCTGCAATCATCATAAATATGAGTCAGTTGCCAAGCATCTGAATTTTGATCACGTGACTATGGACATGGTACAGCAGTAGTAAGTGTGAAAAATGGTCATGTGCCACTTTTTTCAGAGCCATTATAACTTCGAACAATCACTAAATGAACTGTTGTAAATCAAGGACTCCCTGTACACTGAATCTGATTATTATTATTATTATTA